GGTAAAAACAAACAAACATTTAACAACAACAATCAAATTTTATAATGATTATAATAACAACAACGACCTCTCGCAACTTTAACTTAAGTAATAATAATAATAATAATAATAGTGTAGGTAGATATATTTAACACTTATTATTAGTGTAACGTTTAAAATTGTTTTAAACGTGACGGCACATTAAAATAAAATAAAAAAAATGGCGGAAATCATAAATTTAACTTACGACTACTATCAATCATAAATATAAAAAAAATTATTTACGATTGTTTTCGTTAAAGTATATTTGTTTTTTTTTTTTTTAATTTAAATGTATAAAAAAAAAATTGTTTAATGTATAAAAAAAACGTTTAATGAACATTAATTAAAAATAATAATAATAATAATAATAATAAATTAAACCTTGAAAGTAAGAAAAAAAAAAAATATTTCGCGACTTGAAAATTATCATTCGCAATGATATATATAAGAGTCGCGTTAAAAATTTGTAAAAAAAAAAATTATTTAAAAGAAGAAGGAAAATATTTTAAGTGACGTAACGATTCGAATAAATGATTTTGCTGCTGGAAAATTGAAGTGCTGGAATTTACATACGTAAAAACAATTAGGAAAATCCATTTCGGTTTGTGGAAAATGTTTTATTTTCGTTGAATTCTCGTTTGTTTTTAGGGAACGCAAAAAAAAAAAAAGGACAAAACGGATTTGAGATCAAAGGTTAGACGGATGATGTAGGGGAAGGGGAGGGAAAAGAGGGCAGGGTTTAAGTCCTTCAGATTGGAAAATGGGAAATGAAAAAAAAAAACGTCTCGCATTGCTTGCCTTAAGGAATGAGATGTTAGAAACCATGATTCACAAATCAAACAACATCTTTTATAAAATTTTACCTTGTGGAGAGTCAGTCCTATTTTATATCCAGGACTCGTAAATCTGGTCTTAAACTAGTTTTCCTGGACAAAAAAAAAAAAAAAAGAAAAATTAGGAAGATGTAAAAGTAGTAGTTATCAAATGATATTATTAATTTTATAATATTTTATTAAACTTAACTTTATTAAACAGGACTTTTGGAGAAAAAAAATAATAATAACTTGGATATTTTTTTTTTATACGCACACGGTCAAATGATAAAAAAAAAAAAGTTTTGGAGAAAAATTTAATTTTCCATGTAATTTAAAACTCTCCTTCGGTAGTTTCAAGTCGTATACTTGATCACCTTTAGAACAAAAAAAAAAAAAAAATTTTTTTTTTTTTATTCATTTTTAGAGTTCGACAGTTGAAGGGTAATAATAATAATAATAATAATCTGCGGTATTACATTCTTTACCCCCTTCTCTCCCCCTCCCTCCCCCTTTTTTTTTAATAAAAATAAATTTACTTATTTACTTACTTATGTAATTGTATTATTTTATTTATAATAAATAATAGTAATAATTTTTAAGTCACGGATAATTAAACACGCCGTAAATAAATTTTTGTTTTTTTTTTTCTTTTCTAACATTTCTCATGAACCACGTTTCGTTTCAAAATTGTTGTTGTCGTCTTTTCCTTTATTATTATTATT